AATGCAAATCATTATAATGTAACTTCCTATTTAAATATTTGTGTTTACGTAAGCCAAATAGATTGAGGTCTAATATTTAATAGATGCTTTTTAAGAAAGAATAAACTAAGGTAATCACTTTAAAACCAGTTTTTTGGCTCATACCCTTGCATGTAGAGGCTGCTGATGTTCTTTATCTGTTAGTTGTATTATTTTAGAAATCCAGGAGAGAGGTCTTTATAGGTAATGCTTTAATATAATAATTAATTATATAAGCTGTCCTTCATAAAGTTCTTAATACATGTCACACATTTTGCTGGAATATGTACACATGTGTGTGTATATAATTTCCCATCCCTTCAGAATACTTAAGGGATCACAATTTACAGGCAAAGAAACAGATTCTGATATGGGAATGAGCCTGACTAAAATCATTGATAGTAAATTATGGAAGCTCATCTAACTCCAGATCCTTTTTCTTTCCCCTTGACCATATTTCTCTACTTCAAGAGATCTGGTGGTAATCACTAAACTGGTTAACATTGGTAAGACCAATGTTCCAAAATAGATTTTTTTTTCAGGCCCATTTAAATATTAAGTAAATAGCAAGTAATCCAAAGTCACTTTATAATTGACTAACACCAGAAACTTGGTAATCAGTTTCAGGGTAGGATTCATACTTTCATGGACATAATTGTCATTGTAGTATATCTAATTTGATTTTATGATATGGTCATTTCTCTGAACCTTTTTGAATTCCACAGTGCTTTTAAAATAACTGTAGTGTGCTTGTTATTACATCTGCAGAATGTCCTCAGTTTGAAGCTTGTCTCCGGTAGCACTAGGAGGATGGCTTTTGCTCTTGTTGTTGTTGTTTATTGTTGAGTTGTAAGAGCTCTTTTTATACTGAATATTAGACCATTATCAGATATGTGATTTGGAAATATTTTCTTCCATCCTGTGGATAGTCTTTTCACTGTCTTGCTAATGTCATTTGATGCATACGTTTTTAATTTTGATGAAGTCTATTTTGTCTATATTTTTATTGGCTGTTTGTGCTTTTGTTGACATATCTAAGAAACTAATGACTATTCCAAAATTAAAAAGATTTACACCTATGATGTCTTCCAGGAGTTGTATAATTTAATCTTGTATACTTAGATGTATGATGCATTTTGTATTAGTTTTTGTATACGGTGCGAGGTAATAAGTACAGCTTTATTCTTTTGGATGCGAGTATTCAGTTGTTCCCACACCATATACTGAAAAGATTATTCTATTCACCACTGAATTGTCTTGGCACCCTGTTGAAAATGAATTGACCATAGCTGGGAGGGTTTATTTCTGTCCCCTCAGTTCCATTCTGTTGATCTGCATCTCTACCAGTACCTCACTGTTTTGACTACTTAGCTTTGTAGTGAATTTTGCATTGGGAGAATGTATGGTCTATCCTGGAGAATGTTCCATGTGTAATTGAGAAGAATGTGTATTTCACCCTTACTGGGTAGAGTGTTCTATAGATGTGTGTTAGGTATATTATTTTGTATTGTTCAAATCTTCTATTTCTTTTTTGATTTTTTTTGTAGGTGTTCTTTTTATTATTTAAAGTGTGATGTTTAAGTTCCCAGCTATTATTGTTGGATTATCTCTTTCTCCCTGTAATTTTGTCAGTTTTTGCTTCATTTCTTTTGAGCTCTGTTGTTATATAGGTGTATATAATTTTATAATTATCATCTTGATAGACTTACTCTTTTATCATTATAAGTAAATGTGATTTTACTCTGGTAACAATTCTTGTCTTAAAGTCTGTTTTGTCTGATATTAGTGCAGCTGTGGTAGTTCTTTTCTGATATGTATGTCCATGGTGTATCTTCTTCCGTCCTTTTTTTTTTCAATGTATTTTTATCTTTGAATCTGAAGTGTATCTCTTGTAGACAGCATGTGGTTGGATCTCTTTTAAACATGATGCCAATTTGTTTTTTTATTCCATTTTATTTAGTCCATTTACATTTAGTGTGATTACTGATAAGGTAGGATTTTTATCTGCCATTTTGCTATGTTTTCCCTCTGTCTTAAGTCTTTTTTGTACCTTACTATCTCCTTTTGTTGTTAGATTATTTTTAATTGCACCACTTTAACTGCATTGTCATTTTTTTCTTGTTATTTTTTTTAAAAGATTTTATTGATTTACTTTTAGAGAGAGTGCGCATGCATGTGAGTTGGATGCTCAAACAACTGAGCCACGCAGGCACCTCTCTTTTCTTGTTTTTGTTTTTTTTTTAATTAGTCTGCCCTGGAGATTGCAGTTTACTTTTTAACTTACGTCTTTTTCAAAATTACACAAGCTTAATTTTAACAGTACACAAAAACTTTGCTCCTTCTTTAGCTCTGTCCTTACTTGCCCACTTTTGTGTTGTTTCTGTCACATAAGTTGCAGCTTTATACATTGTGTGCCCATCAACACAGAATTGCAGTTAGTTCTTCATGCAATTGTTTTTTTAAATCAAACGAGAAAAAAGGAATTACAACAAAAACACGTTTATAGTTTTGTCTTTCCCTAAGTAGCTACCTGTATTGGTGTTATTTATTTTTTCATGTGGATTCAAGTTACTTTTTAATGACCTTTCACTTTACCCTAAGGACTCCTTTTACTATTTCGTGTAGAACATATCTGCTATTGATGAATTCTGTTTTTGTTTACCCAAGAATACATTAATATTTACATTTTTGAAGATTTTATTTATTTATTTGACAGAGAGAGACACAGTGAGAGAGGGAACACAAGCAGTGGGGGTGAGAGAGGGAGAAGCAGACCCCCTGCCAAGCAAGGAGCCTAATGAGGGGCTCGATCCCAGGACCCTGGGATCATGACCTGAGCCGAAGGCAGACGCTTAATGACTGAGCCACCCAGGTGCCTCTAATATTTCCATTTTTGAAAGATAGCTTTGCTGGTTATAGAATTCTTAGTTGACAGTCTTTTTCTTTTAATACTTGGAATGTGGAATCCCATCGTCTTCTGGCCTCCATGGTCTTTCTTGAGAAATCAGCTCTTGCTCTTATTGAGAATCTCTTTCACATGATGAGCGGCTTCTCTCTTGCTGCTTCAAGATCCTCTCTTTGTCTTTGTCTTTGAACATTTTGATGATGATGTACATAGGTGTGGGTCTCTTTGAGCTTACCCTACTTTGAATTTTTTGAGCTTCTTGGATGGTAGATTAAAGTTTTTCATCAAATTCGGGAAGTTTTTAGCCATTATTTTCTATTTTTGCTCCTTACTTTCCTCTCCTCTGGGTATCACATTATGCATATGTTCATGTTTGATAGTGTCCCACAGGTCTCTGAGACCCTGTTCATTTTTCCTTATCTTTTTGTATCTTCTTCCTCAAACTGGATAATCTCAATTATCCACCTTCAGGTTCACTTATTCTCTCTTCTGCCTAGTTATATCTGCTGTTGAACCTCTCTGGTGAATTTTTCATTTCACTTATTATACTTTACAACTCAAAAATTTCTTTGGATTCCTTATTATTTTCTATAGCTATATTAATATTCTCTATTTGGTGAGGCATTGTTCTCATACTTCAGTTATTTAGACATAGAGTATCCTTTAGTTTCTTGAATATATTTCAAATAACTTATATAAAGTCTTTGTCTAGTAAGTCTAGTGTCTCATCTTCCTCAGGGTCAGTTTCTGTTGATTACTTTTTTCTTATGTATGAACCATACTTTCATGTTTCTTTGCATATCACCTAATTTCTTTTTAAAACTAGAAATTTAGGGGTGCCTGGATGGCTCAGTGGGTTAAGTGTCTGCCTTCGGCCCAGGTCATGATCCCAGGGTGCTGGGATCAAGTCCCGCATCGGGCTCCCTGCTCAGCGGAGAGTCTGCTTCTCTCTCTCTCTCTCTTGCTTGCCCTCTCTCAAATAAATAAAATCTTTAAAAAATAAAAAATAAACCTAGAGATTTAACTTAATGTGTCAACTGTGGAAATTAAATGCCCCTTCCTTCCAGTATTTTTTGTTTTCCTTTTTTATTTAGTGACTTTTCCAAACTAATATTGTAAAGTTTATTATGTATTGTCACTGAAGTGTCTCCTGTTACCTTAGTGGTCAGCTAATGATTAGAGATTTTACTGAATGCTTGGAAACTAAGCCCCTAGCATGTTGGAACAAGTCATTAAGACTCAGCCAGTTGGTTTACAACTGACTCTTTCCTTGGCCTTGCCTTTCCTTCTTGTGCTGAACCTGCAGGTCATCCTGAAGAGAGAGCTTAGGGTCTTCCCAGGGCTTTCCTGGGCTTCTACATTGGTACTGTGCAGGCGTGTAGCCTTCTAGATTCCCAGGAGTGTGTCAGAGCTATTCAAAGGGCAAATGGATATCTCATCTTCCCACTTCTCTTGCTGGCTTTTGGTTAGACTGTTATTTGCTCCATCACCTCAAGCAACTAAAATCTTATATAATTGCCTCTAATTATTTTCTTTGAATACCCCCAGGGAAAAGGCATTTTGCACTGGATGAGCTCCAAGTCAGGTCAAATAAAATCCTCTGGGAATGAGGTTTTGAAAGAACTCCACCCTTTTCTGCTTCCTCCAGTGGCCCTGAGACTGCTGGTGTCCACTGTGGTTACAGCTGTTGGTTTTCAAGGCTCCTGCAGAGCTGGGAGTGGTGTATTGGAAAAGGACTTATTAAAACATCACAGAGCTCACTGCTTGTACCAAGATTCAGCCAAGTTTTTAAAAATAAATGCTCCTTAGATCTCTGCAAATCTTTTGTTAATTTTCAGACTTTTGAAAATGTTGATTCTGACAGTTTTTGCCAGTTTCTTTTTGCTTTTGTAGAGAAAATATTTGGAGGTTCTTACTCATCATTTTCACTGTTGTCACTCTTATATTTTTCTTTACACGATACCTAGATATATAGTTAAATGTTAGCTGAATTAATAAAGAGTCACTAAAAGCAGAGTGGTTCTTTTTTTCCAGAAACTTTTCTGACCTTTTTTGTACTTCTCCTGTTTTATTTTAGGACTATGATGATGGATATGGCACTGCTTATGATGAACAGAGTTATGATTCCTATGATAACAGCTATAGCACCCCTGCCCAAAGGTAAGAGTCGATCTCTGATTAGACCCCGTTAACAGACACTTTTACCTGTCCACATATATACACTCTGGGAAGCGGGTATGATCAGACAGTGAGGGTACTGTGGCTTGGCTTGCTTTGTTTCTTGTTTGTTTTAGTTGGAGACGCACGCTCTGTCCTGCCAGCTAGCATGTATTACTCCTCCCATACTTATCGTAGTGTGAAAGCAATGAGGCTTGAAAAATAAAAATTGAAATTTTTTTTTTTACTCTAAAAATTTAACTTAGTGTTCAGTATATTCTGAGGAGGAACAGTGTCTACAAAGTTTGTGGCTATGCAAGTCGTAAGGCTTAGAATCACATCAGCAATGTGTAAATATCCTACATTGTCAGTGCCTGAGGTGGAAAGCCCCTAGAAGTTTTGTTTGGCATTCAGATAACGTTTCTGTTTCTTAGCAGCAGTGATCCTTTTTTCTAACAACTTGAAATTCCTATTTGTGAATAATGAGGTAGTTCTAATTCATTTTCTAAAGAGGTATTTACCCGGAAATAAGTAAGTGCCATCAGAGGCAAAACAGAGCTTTATAGTTACCTCTTGTGATAATATACCTTGACGTTCATTGATATATGAAATCAGTGTTTATTCCTGTTCAGAATGTTTTCTTAAATGCCTAGAAACCTCTTGCTTTATGTTTAAAATTCTAAGTGGAGGACAAAGATAGACATATATACAAAACAAAATTTTGGCTTTATGAAGCATACAGAAATAAGGACTGGGTGGTTGTTTTGATGAACTCATAGAGTGCCAGGCAACTTTGAACAAGTAGCTGCTGTTACTCCTGAGCTCTGGTACTGAGGTTGACACGGATATAAAGTTCTTTCTTCTTTTTGGCTCATGTCAGATTTTTTTCTCATATAACTTGTAACAGTTAAGAACCTTCAAACTTGGACTCTGACTGGTCTTTTTGAGCGGGAGCCTGGTGCACTGTACTCCTGTCCTTCAGAGTGTTGGCACAGCCTAGGGGACTAGCACTGGTGGGTGCTAGCCAAGATTTACATACAGTGGTATCTCCTGTAAGGGTCCCGGCAACTGTATCAAGTGTGTGGAACTGTTCCCACTGTAGGGATGAAGGATTGAGTAATGTGTCAGAATTCCCAGGTGGCTTGGAGTGGTAAGTGGTGTGTGGAGCTGCACTTGATCTGTAGAGCTGGGAGGTGAGCTGCATGGGAGGGAGATGAGGTGGGAGGCCGCACACTCCCTGTGGGGTGCTGAGGCTTGGTGCCCCTGGCAGCACGCAGTAGGGAGCCCTGAAGAGTTACACGCCAGGGATGGTGCGTTTCGACTTGGATTCAGAGTGTCATTCCAAGGCAGTGGAGGGGCTTGACTGACAGGTGGTGAGCCTAGAGGCAGAGACCAGTTAGGAGGCCGGTACATTATAAGGCCCTTAAATGTCAGGGAAGACTCACTTAAAGAGACATCTTGCCTGACAGCCAGTCTGCTTCCTTGAAGTGATCTTTTCGGTGTTGCAACTCATCACACCTGAAGGAGGACAGAATTGTATGAGAATTGCCCACATTGACAAATGTAGAAGCCACTCTTTGTTAGGTGTTCTGAGTATTCATTTAATCCTCATGACCTGTGACATAAACATCAGTCCTTTTACAGAAGAAGGGAACTCTGATTTTCAGGAATGAGGGAACTTGCCTGGGATCGTGCAGCTTACAAGGGGAGGAGCACACTTTGCCCCAGGGTCCGTGCTGTCACGCGTCCTCCCCGCGGCATCTCAGGCATGACAAAGGGGCTGCTCGACTGTAAATCCGAGGGAAGTAGCTGTACTATGGGGTAGGATAGAGATGGTTTTATGCACTGTATGAGTTTGCTAGAGTCACTGTAACAAATAACCACAGTCCAGGTGGCTTAAGCAACAAAACTTTATTTCCTCACAGTTAAGAGAACCTAGAAGTCCAAGGTCCAGGTGTTGGGGGATTGGGTGTTTTCTGAGGCTTCTTCCCTTGGCTCACAGACGACCACCTGCTCGCTGTAGCCTCGCATGGTCTTCCCCTGTGCACGCGCATCCCCGACGTGTCCGTGGGTGTCCACATTTCTCCTCTTCTGATGGTACCAGTCACATTGGATCAGGACCTCTTTGAGGGCCCTGTCTCCAACTACAGTGCCATTCGGAGGTACTGGGGGTGGGGGCTTCAACATATGCTTCAAGCAGGGGACACGATCCAGCCCGTAACATGCACATATCATAACCCTGGTTTAAGCACAGTACTCTGTGTCTCAGGATTAGAATAGCAAACTTGCAAATCCTCCCCAGGATCAGATAGTGAGTATTAACAAGGAAATCACCACCGCCACCGTCTTCAGCTGCTGTACACTTACCCTGTGCCTGGTCCTCTCTGTCCTCTCTCCCCTCTCAGCACACCCTAAAATACTGCAGAATTCAAGTCTAAACATGCCGTCCCCTTACATACAGGTTCAGAGAGGTGAAGTGGCCTGTCCACACTCGACAGGCTGAGTGCTGATCCAGACCCAGCTTGGCCCCGCGGCATCTTCCTTGTCCCTTGTCCCATTGCCTGTCCATTCTCTCATCATGGCTTTGATTTCAGCGGCTGGAACGAATTCCCATTAGTATTGCCCATATACAGTATTCAAGAATCTAATACTCTGTGATGCTTTAGAATCCCATGGGAATTAGGCCTCCATCTGAACTCGAAGTGTTGCCTTATCAGACTTGGGCTACCTTAATCAAACCTAAAATTTCATTTATGCTGTGTATTAATGTTGTGGGCCAGGACTAACGAAATTAAGAGTCTTATTTTTCCATTTTCCATTAGATCCTTTCAGCAAAAAGCATTCACTGCCACTGCTCTCAAGGAGCATACAGCCTTAATATTCACTAATAGATAATACCATGTAACACTCAATGATCTGTAGTCTGCAGTTCCTTGATTTTGACACTTCACGTACTGTAAAAATAATTTCGTACTTCAATAATTCTCTCAATCAGAATTTGAAAGCCCATTCTGTGCCATAGTTGTAAGGTTCAGTATAACTGCAGAATTCTTTACCTGGTCTGCTTTGAGATGACAGAGCTATTCTGAAAATGTTCTTTGATGCATCATGGTGAGTCACCTGCACTGTCCACCACGGTAGCCACTAGCTCATGTGGCTGTTGAACCTTGAAATGTGGCTAGTGTAGATTGGGATGCACTGGAAGTATGGGACACACACCAGAGTCCTAAACGTAGCATGAAATAAAGAATACAAAATAGGGGCGCCTGGGTGGCTCAGTCGTTAAGCGTCTGCCTTCCGCTCAGGTCATGATCCCAGGGTCCTGGGATCGAGCCCTGCGTCGTCAGGGTCCCTGCTCAGCAGGAAGCCTGCTTCTCCCTCTCCCACTCCCCCTGCTTGTGTTTCCTCTCTCGCTGTGTCTCTCTCTCTCTCTCTCTGTCAAATAAATAAATAAATAAATCTAAAAAAAAAATACAAAATAAATATATTATTAAAATTAATTTCACCCATTTCTTTTTTTCTTCTTCTTTTTTTTAATGTGACTACTAGAGAAATTCAAATTACAAATTTCTCTTGGATAACAAAGAGTTAAAGACTCTGGTTCACTCTCTCTCTGGCACAACAGCTCCAGGTTGGGGCCCACACCCTCGGGGGAAGCAAGTCAACTCACCAGGTGCAGAAAGAAAATTAGAGAGGGTCAATTCATGTCCATCCTTTTAAAATTTCTATTTTGATGTTTCGTGTTATGTGTAAATCTAACTTATTAATACTCCAGTGCACATGTTACCCAAAGACAATTAAAGTTACAAGATCAAAAATGGTTTTCTTTCTGAAACAGATGTGTTGTAAAAAACTTTTGTTGGAGATCTGGGCCATAGTGGTTAAGAGTCTGGCCGACCTGAATTTAGACCCCACTTTAGTATTTGCTGGTTATTTGGCTTTGGGCAAGTTACTTGACCTCTCTACGCCTCAGCTTGTAATGTGTATAACTCTGTTTCTTCTGTAGATGGCCAGCCTGAATGTTGAATGAGACAGAAAATCCCACAGTCTGAGGGAATTGTTGGGGGGTAGGGAGAAGGCATGTCATCCACAGTGTCTTTTCTGTGAGAGAATTAATGAGGTAATCTGTGTAAGGCAGTTAAGGCAGGGTGTAAGGCAGTTAGCACATTGTGCTGAGTAAATCCTAGTTCCTGCCCTCCTTCCCCAGTTCTGAATTATTCTGCATCTCATTTCACATAGGGAAGCTAAGAGAAAATCCGGAAGGGTTGTGTGAATAAATGATTTACAGGGAAAATGAGAAGAGAGAGGGGACCTTGTGGAGGGCTACTCCCCCCTGGGATGGTCAGTATCAGTATTTAACATAAACTGGGATTAGCAAATTGAGCAGCTATAACCCACTTGAAAACAAAACAGAGCAAGACAGCAGGCTCATATGGCTGGCCACTGGGTATTGTTACCTGCTGTGCAAAAGGGTCCCTTTTGGTAATGACGTTTAAACTTCATAAGCTGTAATCATTGTATGATACTGTTTTGTTGTAGAAACAGCAGTTTCTCTCAGGAGGTTTTACAAATTAGGAACTTTTTCCTCCCGATTTTTAAATACCTTGTATTAAAATTAGAGTACAAATGAGAATCCCTGCAGAGTGATAGAAAATTCAGTATAGTTCAGCTACATTTCCCCATTGATTTTTGTAATGACCTTGATAGTGCTAATATTGTAGTGTAAAACAAAGTATTGTTTCTCTAACTTCACACATTTAATGAGTAACAAGCTGTCAACGCAATTACTGTGAAGAGAAATATGAACTATTCTTTATAATATTGGAATTGTTCTAATATAGATTGGCTCAAAAATAGTTATTGATTGATTTCTTTAGACACCCCTCCTGAATAGTAGTGATGAATAAAAAGAGCAGGTGATAAATGGCCTCAGCCCTCAGACACCTGCCCCTCCCCTGACATGACTTGAGACTTCACAAAAGTCCTAATTTCAACTCTCAGAA